TTAACCGATACAGATCTAGTTTTTTCAAAATTGTCGTCCATGGGATTTAAACTCTAGACCTGCCGTTTGGGGTGCAACAACTTTACCACTTCACTAAGTCGCCACACCCTTATATTAGCTATTTTTTTTAATTTTTAATTTGCAATTATATAATAAAATATATATATATAGTATTTAAAATTTAATATTTTTACTCATGCATTATTGTATGAGTTTATATATAATTATATTTAAAAATAAGAATTACTTTTTTGCAAAATTAGTTTTTATATTATAAAAAAAAAATTAAAATTATATATTAACTAAAGGTAAAATCTAAATGGTATCTCTATACATTTGTATTTCTCTAAGTTTTGATAGTAAACAAAGATAAAGACTAATATTAGAGTTAGGGTTAGAGTTAGTGTTAGGGTTAGAATTAAAGTTTTTTTTAGGCTAAAATTGTGAGAGGAACATTTTTCACTAGTTACACAACAGAGGTTACCATAGTAAAATTTTGAGATATTAGCAATTTTTATAGTAAGAAACACAGTACATAGGGCACTAGTTCTAAACTAAAAATAAATAAAAATTTTATTATAATTTTTCTGTAATCTTATTCAGTTTAATTTTAAATCTATAGTTTTTAATACAATATATAGCACTTCATATAAATTAGTTTTTTTCTTTTTAATTCATATTATACTATAAGCATATCATGGTGATATTTTGGCATAAATTTAGTAAATAGCAAGCCAAATTATTATCAAATAAATGACTAGCTAAAACAGAAATCGTTAGAAAATGTGTGGGTTTTGTTTAAATAATTCTAAATTTTAATTTTATAACCATTATTATTTTACAGAATGGGTTTATTAATAGCAAATAAAAACAAAAGCTCCGGGTAGAATTGCCACCTAAAAAATGTTCTATTTTAACTGACTCACTAATCTCAAATTTCAGCAAATTAACATATATATATTAAAGTGATTTAAAAATACTATTCTTAAATACATTTCATGATTTTGATGTTTTAACGAATTGCTGAGACATGATTAAATAAAGTAAATATAAGTAAATACGATTCATTGAAATTATTAAATAAAATATTCTAAATACCTGGAAATATTTCTGAAATGCTTTTAATTCTAGTTGCTGTAAAGAACGTAAGAAATCATCAAGAAGATCTGGTTGTAGCAACCAAATAGTCCATACATTCCTAAGATATTCAAGAAAATCATCTCCCCTTTGTGAAAGCATGATTTTCAATATCTTGGATATTTCATTTAAAACCTGAGCAAATGACATTGAACAAAAACTTTAAAATCAATTTTATAAATTTGCATTAATAATCAATGTTCATCAAATGTTTACCGTTAATGATTGACCGTCGCTCACATTGAATGATGGCTTAAAGGGAACTTCGAAACAAATACGCAATATGTGCTCATATAATGCACCTATTGTCAAGTACTGGTCACCCCAGAGAGTCAACGTTTTCGAAAGAATACTAAAAGCTATCTTCATAGATGGAATATCAGAGGTATCGCTGGCATAATGTATGACACTTCGAAGTATGCTTTCTAGACGTGGCTGATTCGCTAAATAATATTTGACCAATGTATTTAGATTTAGAGATTAAGAGGTAATTTTTTTTTTAAAAAAAACAACTTTACATTCGCTGACGAAAACTGCATCCATTTCATTATTCAACAATCCTAAGATGAAATTTAGGTAGGCTTTTCGAAGATCTATCAATAAAAGCGCTTCATCAGTTCCGGATGGTGTTTGATTTAAGAATTGGAAGACTTTATCGATCAAAGGAATAATTAGCTCATTTAAAATGTTAAAGATCGAAGGCTAATTAATTAATTAATTAATAATCAATGGGTAAGTAAAAATAAAATTTAAAATAAATTTAAAGAATTTGAACAATAAATCATTAAATAATAGCTTACTTTAAATTTATGAGCTAAGAGTCCAACAAATGGGAGGAAATCCACTAATTCTGAAATCCCACACTCAGTGAGCAATTCATTAATTAATAAAGGAAGATATGGCAATATCTCCGTGCCAAGCACACTAACAAGCCGTGCAAAGGTATACCTTGCCTACATAGAGGATAGCTCTATTAGATTCACAAATCATTCCTAATAGGTGCTAATTATAATTTACTCTGAAACATACAGCATCCCTGATAATTTCGTATCTATTCAAAATTTTCAGCACAGCTAGAACGATCTCAGTCACCTGCTTTAGAATTCCAACCCATAGAATAATTGGATGAGATCCTTTGGGCGCTTCAGGAAAGCCTACGTAATGATGCAGAGGTAAATAAGCAGATAGTAAATGCAATAGAGCTATCATATCAAATTAGAGATAGCAACCTTTCACGATGCTACCAATAGCCATTATCAAGTGATGAATTTGAAGTACAGAACGAGGATCTATGTGTTCAGGTGACTCTGTACAGATTTGTATATAGCGTTGTATTTCTTC